TGAAGTAAGCCAGAAAGGGAAAGAAAAATGCCATATGATATCACTTATATGTGGAATCTAAAAATATGGACACAAATGAACTACTTATTAATTATAACTCATATGACTGATTTCCTGAATATGTGTATGCACATTTGACTGTCTTTTATGAATGGATTACTGCATTCTGTTGATTCTTATTTTATGGATGGCTTTATTCCTTTGATAACTATGTAAGTTTAAAAAGCTAAAACTCTAAGCTGTTCTTAGAAACAATGAACAGAACATATATGTAAATTTTTTAATTGTACGTGCAGTGTATTGTATATATGTATTTGCATGCAACATATTGTATATGTGCAGTCAAATTGTTATCAATTTTACCTAACAAAATTCAAAAATTAAAAGAAAAAAGAAAAACTATTCAAGCCATGTGATAAAATAACAAAAAAAAAAATAAATGCCAGCAACTGTTATTACCATATGCTAGTCTTGGCATGAGAACACATTTATACTCGCAAGATTCCCATTTTGGCCTTCGAAGCTTCACTAGATCTGCCCATTACCTGTCTCCAGCCCCACCTGGTACCACACTCCCCCTGCTCTCCCACCAGGGGCTGTATCCTTCCCTGTTCCGTGCCTTTGCACATGCTGCTTCCTCTTTCTAGAATTCTCTCCACCACCCTCCAACTCTTTTACTGAATGCTTCCCCTTGACCATCACTTCCTGAGAGAAGTCAGACCAGCGTGGGTCAGATCTCCAGTCAAACACTCTCATAAAACCCTTCTGCTTCAACCAGACACTCGTAAGATTTGGGATTTCACTGAGGCTCTGGGAGGCAGGAACTGGGTGTTTTGTTCAAGTTGTGTCCTCAGAGCTTACGGCAGCTAGGTGCCGGGCAAATGTTCTCTGAAATACTTGGCAAATTAATAAATGGTCTCTAATTCTTAAAATCACCATCCGGGGGTGCCTAATAACTCTGATCCCCATGTCACCAAGGAAGCCTGAGGCACAGAGAAAAGCAAGCTGTTGCCTGGGGTCACATGGGGGGCCAGGCTGAGGTCAGTTCAGCTCAGGCAGTGGTGGAGGAAGCAGATTTGATTACCTGGCGGGAGCCCAGGCCCCTACAGCTCTGCTGCATTCTCTGCATCTAGCCAACCAAACTACATGTCCTTCGCCTCACCCTCTGTCCATTCCCTTTGTCCAGGTTATTTCAGCTCCCAGGAATGTCCTTCCCCCTTCTTCATTCCCTGCCTAACTCCTGCTTAAACCTTCACAGTTTGGCTCAGGCATCCATCACCTCCTCCAGGAAGCCTTCCTTCCTGATCCCTTCTTCCAAGCCACCTTAAGTGCTGCTTCCTTTGGTAACTCTTCTGTGTCACTGACTGTGTGAGCACCTCAAGGGTAGGTCTCCTGGGTTTTACACATCTGTTTATTCTCAGTGCCCAGCACAGGAATGGGCACACAGTAGGAAGTTAATAAATACTGAGTGAATGAATAATACTAGCAGTTAATGTCTCCTAGATGCTTTCTGTGCACCAGGTATTGTGCGCAATACTTTCCCTGGATTAGCTCATTTAATCTTTTTAGCAGCCCAGTGAGATGGGTCCTGCTATCAGCTCCATTTTGCATATGGGGAAAATGAGACTCAATGAACTTCAGGACTTGTCCAATGTCATACAGCTGGTAAAATGAGTGACCAAATCACGGAGGAATATATGATGAAGCACATACAAAGGCCTGAAAGGAGTGACCTCAGAGATCACCTACATCTTAAGGTCAGGAGCTAGGTCTTAAGTCATCTCTGGGTCCCCAGAACCTGGCACTGAGCAGGTTGGTGCTCAGGGAGCACTAACTTTGGGGGCCAGGACCAGTTACATAATTTGTGGGGCCCAGTGCAAAATGAAAATGCAGAACAGCGCCCCTCGTTCAAAAATTATTAAGAATTTCGAGACTGCAACAGCAGAGCATTAAACCAAACTCAGGACCCTGTAAGTGCAGGGCCCCATATGACTGCACAGGTCTCATGCTGCCTGTGAAGCTGGACCAGCCTGGGGCTCAGAATGAAGACCCCCCCGACAACACTCACCATCGACATCAGCACTTGTCAGGGCATCCTCCACCTGGGCTGGTGTCAGGGAGATGCCCACAAGGAGCAGGATGTTCTCCAGGCTCTGTGCGTCCACTTCGCCATGACCGTTGAAGATCTCAAAGTAGCTGCGGAAGGCTGGAGTGGGCGGCGGGGTTACGTGGGGTGAGAACATGTCCTGTTTCCACCATTCATCCCATCCATTCCAACCACCCTCCTGCCTAGTGTCTTCTGTCATCGTGACTGGGTGGAGGGACAAAGTTAACTGAAAGAGTGGAAGTGGAGGGGTGAGGGCCGGTTAACGCACTTCACTCTCTAATACAAGGTCAGGCCAAGGGCTCAGCTGGCGTGGCAAGAGCTAAGCTAATTAGCCACCTTCACTTCGCACCAGGAACACACCCAACTTAGGGTACCCCTGCTATGTGCCAGGCACTATGAGAAGCTCCTTATAGCCGTGTTCTCATTTAATTCTTATAGCAGCCTTATAAAGAGTAGAATGCTTATTCCCTTGTAAAGATGGGGAAACTGAGGCTAAAAGTTTAGAGGACCAGATGAATCTTTCTGACTCTGAGTCTGTGCCTTGATTTTGGTGCTCTGCAGGTGCTTATCTGGATAGACATAGCCTCTGGGATACTTTCATGGGTCTGCACCAAAGCAGAGGACCAGGGAGGATGCTGAGAAAGCTCTTAGAATAGCACCAATTGATAGAAAAACCTTAACGTGTGTGCTATCTGGTTTCACTGCCTACAGCAAAATCCAGATTAGATCAACAGAACTGGTGAGAAGATGGTTCTACCATTTAATAGTAAACTGGCTTCCTGTTATGAGCTGAATTGTGCCTGCCCCCCTAAATTCACATATGGAAGTCCTAACCACCCCCTGTATCTTAAAATGTGACGATATTTGGAGATAGGGCCTTTAAAGAGGTGATTAAGTTAAAATGAGGCCATTCGGGTGGGCCCTAATCCAACCTAAGTGGTTTCCTTAAAAGAGGAAATTTGGACACACAAGAGACACCAGGGATGCGTGTGCAGAGGGAAGACCACGTGAGGATACAGAGAGAAGGCAGCCACCTGCGAGCCAAGCAGAGAGGCCTCAGAAAAAATCAAACATACCGACACCTCGATCTTGGACTTCTAGCCTCCAGAACTACGAGAAAACAAATTTTAAGCCATCTAGTTTGTGGTATTTTGTTATGGCAGCCCAAGCAAACTAATACAGTTGTCATGTGCAAGTCACTGTACTTCTCTGAGCCTCAGTTTTCTTATCTGTAAGATGAATGTAACTACAGTACACCCTCCAAGAGAGGTTGCATTAATTCAGCACTTGGCACATCATAGACTCTGTAAGTCTGTGACACACAGGATTGAAATGTGGGGAAGAGGTAAGGGCAGGATTAGGGTTGGAGTAAGTGGTGACCTGCCACCGGCAGACATGCTGAAAAGGGAAAAACCAGAACAACTCTCAAAAGGAGATGTGGTGGAGAGGGTATAGCTCAGTGGTAGAGTGTCTGCTTAGCATACACTTGGTCCTAAATTCAATCCCCAGTACCTCCATTAAAAAATAAATAAATAAATGAATAAATGAATAAATAAATAAATAAATAAACAAATAAACTTAATACCTTCCCCCTCCTTAAAAAAAAAGCAGATGCAATCATCCAAAATGCAGGGTGGTTTGGACCATCCGAGCAGGTAGCCAGCTCCTTCTTCCCCAGACATGGCCGAGAGTCTTGGGGACCTTTTGCAAGGAACACTGAATCTCTAAGCCAAAGTGGCATGCTGTCCATGAACTCTTGCCTCCAGGCAGGGCAGTGGGTTCTGGACCTAGAAAAGCCCTCCAAAATAGCTAGAGAGCTTTTCTTTTTTTTCATTTTTGCATGGAGGTACTGGGGATTGAACCCAGGATCCCTCTCAGGCTAAGCATGTGCTCTACCTCTGAGCTACACCCCCGCGCCCTAGGGAGTCGTAATGCTAAAGGAAGGGAACTTCAAGGATGGAGTCCTAAGGAGCCAGAGAGCACATTCAGGGAAGAAGAAGAAGGGGCCGCTCTGGCCCTGCATGGGGCTCAGACTCTGGGGAGGAGGGGCAGATGCAAGGAGGATACACACCCACTCATCCAGAGCCAGAGCCGGGTGTGGCCGGGTTGGCAGTGACGTGGACGGTGGATTAGGCCACCTCCGGAGCCCGCAGGAAACAGCAATCACTCCTCCTCAAAGCGTGGGTAAGAGGAGTCACAAGGCCCAGCCCCAAGGATGGTGGGGAGCAAAGGGCATGGCATCTTGCCCAGGGCAGATATTCAGAACTTCTGAATTTTGGGGTGGGGGTGGGATGTGGAGGAAAATGGGGACCTGTCCGTAATCAAGCAGGAGCCCATGGGGCCTTCTCAGGACAGATTACCCTCACCGTGTCCTCCACCTGCCTCTGGTCTGTAGAAAAGCTTTAGCCTCCTAGGCCTTCCCCAAGTTCCAAAGAATAAAAGAGAAGTCAGAAAATGCAGGAAGAAAGGAAAGCAGCCAAGCAAGACAAAATAATAATAGTTTAGCCATTAAACAAAGTCAAGGACCTTTAGTTCCTCCTCAAGGGCTACAGATAACATTCTGAGCCGTGTCCTTTGAGCTGTTTTGCAGAGCCTGAAACCCCCACCAGGCGGAAGAAGTTAACTCTGTGCTGCCCACAAGCATGTTGGAACCAGAAGATTAACGAGGTTGACTCCTGGTGACCTCACCACCGACCAATCAGAAGAGTGTCCATGAACCAATCACACCCCACACAACCCGCTCCTCTCACCTTGTCTTTAAAAGCCTTTCCCTGAAAGCCATCGGGGAGTTTGGGCCTTTTAAGAACTAGCTTTCTGGACTCCCTGCTTGGAGGCTACAATAAGTGCCACGCTCTCCATCACCACAACCCGGTGTCAGTAGATCGGCTTTACTGCGCGCAGGTGAACCCAAGTTTGGTTCCATAACATGTCCAGGGCAGAGGGGCTTGTTAAATGGTGAGGGATGTAGGACAGGCGGGGGGGCTCTGGAGCCCTGCCTCCCATCCAGGCGGTCTCTCCAGAGGACCGATAGAGGGGGCTTGGGTTGGGGGAGGCAGAAATGTGTCCAAAAATGAAAGAGCTTTGCAGGGCTCGTTTCATTCACTCAGAGAGGTGGCTCTGGACCAGGGAAGAGAACTGGACCCCAGGTGAGAAGACCCAGCGGGAGTCCTGGCTCCCCAACAGCGCTGTGCCAGGGCTGGGGTCAGCCTCCTACCCTGCACAGCCCGTCTAGCCAAGTGCAGGGCTGGGGTGGGCACTGGGGCAGCCGCGTGATCTGCACCCCCACCCTGGACCTAGAAACCCAAGGAGTGAGGGTCCTGCCTGCCCTGAGAGGGGCTCCCCTGGCCAGGCCCGCCCTCACCTTCTTCTTGCTTCAGTGTGAGGTGCTCCTCGGACCTCTCCTCCCAGGTCTGATACATCTTCAGGAGATAGTGCTCCTCCAGCTCCTGCCTGCAGAGGACAGAGCTGGGCCCAGGGCACATATCCAGCCGCCCATCCCTGCCCCATGCCCAAAGCTAGCTGAAGGCGAGGGGAAGCTGGGGAGGAGGAGGTCATAGGAGGTCCCTGGGGGAGGCTTGGAGAGGTCAGGAGAGTCTAAGAGTGACCCAGAGGAGGAGCGAAGCAGAGGGGAGGGGAGTCTAAAGGAGAGACGTCGTCACAAAGGTTAGAAAGGACAGAGGGGTCTGCAATGAGAAAGGAGGCCTAGATATGAAAGACAAAGAGCTGGGAAAGATAGACCGTGAGGAGAAATGAAGAAGAGGACTCACTAGAGGGAATAGACTGGTGCAGTGACAGGGACAAGAGCCTGGAAGAGAGACACCAGGGGCCCTGGGACACAGGCTCTGATCCCGGACACACTTCCTGGGGTGACTCCTACCGTGCCTTGGGGTAGTTCAGTCTCCTCTCCCCGCTGTGGTGCAAAAGTTCTGTCCTTCTCCAGCCCAGGTCTGAGGTGGGGACCGGCAGAACTGAGACGGGCACTGAAGCTGGGACTGGGGCTCCCACCGGGGCAGAGACTGGCCCAGGGGCTGGCAGCCGGGCCCAGGATGGGGTCATGGCAGGGGTGTGAGACAGGGCCAGAGGCAAGCTTGGGGCTGAGGTGGGCACAGGGGTCAGGGTCCTTGGGGTCTTCCGGTTTGGCAGGGCCCGGGCCTTGGTGGCCCTCCGATGCATGGCCTCCTCCTCCTCCACCTCCAGCAAGCACTTTATGAAGCCCGGCCGAGGGTTCCTAAGGTTCTCAGTCCCTGTGGCCACCACAGTCTCCTGAGGCTGTTTCCGCATGTGGTCCAGCTCCCTTCTCTCTCCAATGTCCCTCACCTCCTAGAGACAGGGTGAGGGAGGGAATTCGGGAGGCCTCCAGTCAGCCAGACTGTCCAACAAACTTCTCCCTGCTACCCACTCTGCAGGGGATCCTCTGCCCCTTCCTCTCTGGCCCCTGGGGAGGCCCAGATCTCTCCTGCATCCTGCCAGGCTCCCACCCCATGTCCTCCCTGACCCCTAACCCGGGCTCTGCCTCCTCCTGGCAATCCTGAGCTGCAGTATTGAGTGAGTTACTCCCCATCTCACCACTTGTTTATTTCCTTCATTGCAATCAACACAAACTGCCAAGGCCTTATCCATGCTCACTGTTTGCCTGCCTGACCAGAAGTGAGCTTCATGAGGGCAGGACCTTGATGCCTCTTTCGACCCAGCAGCCAGCACATGGTATGCACTCAATAAATTCCCACTAATTCATTCAACAAATCCAGCACCTCCTGCATCTGTCCCTCCCATCAGAGGGGTGAGCCATCCCTTGCCCACCACCAACCAGGCCACACCATGCAGGTTCCAGCCCAGCCCATTCAAAGATGTAGCTCCTACCACACACTGACTCTTCCTGAAATATCAGCTCTACCCTCTCCACCAGATTGCCCCCATCAGCATGTAAACATGGCTATATTATTGTCCTTTAAAAACAAAAAAACTCTCCTGACACTATAAACCCCTCCAACTACCATCCCAGTTCCCTGCTCTTCCTTCAGAGCAAAATGCCTTGAAAGAGTTGGCTGAACTCCATCTCCACTTCCCTCCGGTCTCCAGCCCGGCTTCTGCTACCACTCCCCAGCTGACTGTTGCAAGGCGGTGGTCACATCTCTGGCCTCTTAGAGCTGACCTCAGTGGAGATAGACAGAGATGGCCACTCCCTCCTTCTGGAAAAGCTTTCTTCTCCAGACTCCCACCCGCTCCCTGAGTCTTCCGCAGCCTACTTCACTGTCCCCTCCCCACTCTCGCTCCATTTCTAAACGTTGTGGAGACCCAGTGATTTGTCCTCAGACCTCTTCCTGCTCTGTATTCACTCTCCTAGATGTCATCCCCATTTTTCTCCCATTTGCATGTCCAATCCTGACTTCTCTGTCCTTCCTAACTCCAGGCATCCTCCTGACATTTCTTCCCAGGCGTCTAGAACATGACCTAAGCAGAACCTTAGGTTTCTTCCTGTCTGCTCCTTCCCCAGTGTCATCACTTTGGTGAATGACACCACTTGCTGCTCAGGCCCCAGATCTAAGGTCTCTTTTTAAAACTGAAGTATAGTTGATTTATAATAGTGAATCATTTTCAGACGTACAACATAGTGATTCAATTATTTGTGTAGATTATATTCCCTAAAGGCTCTTTTGATTCCTCTTTTTCCAACCTACCTTTCCACCAGGCAATGACTGTGTATTCACAGGTTCCTCAGTCAAGTTAAAGAACTAGGAAGTGGCCAAGTTGGCAGAGGTGGGGATGTGTGGGAGGGTAGGAGGGAGATGGGACCCTCTCAGATGTTCAGGGAAGCTATGGGTTGTGTGCTGTGACTGAGAGCAAATTTGCAGAAGAAATCTGTGCCAATGTAAGAAAAGCCATGACCTGGGGTGAACCCAGGGACTCCAGAGTGTAAGAACATCCTTGGCCCCCACCCAAGATGCACACACATGGGTACACACATGCATATGTGCAAACACACACATACATGGGCACACTCACACAAACACGCGGGCACACTCACACATACACGCAGGCACACACTCACACCTTCCCCAGTTTGACTCCATTTCTTTCTCTACCCCTTCTTCCTCCTGATACCCATCCCACTCTGTCCCCATCCCCATTATGGCTCTACTTACAGATGGACGAACAGGCCCCAGTGCTGGCTCAGTCTCCACAGCTTCGCCCCTAAATAAGGAAGAAACCTCCAGGTGGCAGAGGGGCTCAGCTCAAGGCTTGACCCTTACACCCACCTTTTCTCAGTGCCCGGGACACTCTTGGGTGGTCCATCACCCAAGCTTCATTCCCTTGAACTTCTAATCTCAGAGGGGCTCCTCATTCCCTCATATCCCCATGTAGGGATGTGGCCCTTGAAGTATAGGCTCACGGAACAAAGACTTCTGGTATTAGAGCTATTATACGGATGGAGAAATTGAGACCCAGGGGAGCTTGACCTGACCAAAGTCCTACATTATGTAAGGAGTGGTCAGGACTAGAATTCGCCTCACTTGTAATTTAGCAGAAGAGCAACCTTGTTGGGGTCAGAGAGTGGGGTAGGAGGTGCCATCAGAGGATGGCTTACCTTTCTTTGGGTGTGTTAGGTCTTGACGTGCATGGTGGAAAAGAGTGGGCTGTCTTTTCCTCCAGAATTGCTGTGGGCATTAGGGGCACTGCTTCCTGGGAACTGTCCCCATGTCCCCCTGGGCCAGGCTCTGGCAGAGCCCTCTGTGGCCTGATGGGTGAGGTGTCCACCTCCTTGGAGGGCTTGTCTCCCAGTTGCTGTCCACAGCTGTCCAAGGTGCAGCAAGGCTCTGTTGGCTGCACGATGTCTGACTCATTTGCTGCCAGGTGACCTGGGGTGGGCTGACATGCTGGACCCTGCCAAGGACAAGGACATCAAGAGGGGGTGCCCCATCCTGGCTCCCAGGAGAATCAACCAGAGACCAGTTGTCACACACTCACTCCGGTCCAACCTCTGCAAGCACGATCTTACTGAGTTCTCCCAGTACCCCTAGAAGGTAGCACAGATGCCCCCATTTTGAGGGATGAGGAAATTGAGGCCCCCAGGTGGCATAGCCTACTCAAAATCATAATCCGTGCTTCTCTGTGCAGGTAGAACGGGACCCTGGAAAAAGTGAGATGATCCACTTTTTTAAAAATATATTTTTATTGACATATAGTCAGTTTACAATGTTGTCAATTTCTGGTGTACAGCATAATACTTCAGTCATATAGGAACACACATATATTCATTTTTGTATTCTTTTTAACCATAAGTTACTACAAGGTATTGAATATAGTTCCCTGTGCTATACAGTGTAAACTTGTTTTTATATATAGTAGTTACATATTTTATATACTATTTTATATATAGTAGTTAGTATCTGCAAATCTCGAACTCCCAGTTTATCCCTTCCCACCCTCTTCCCACCCTGGTAACCATAAGTTTGTTTTCTATGTGAGTCCGTTTCTGTTTTGTATATAAGTTTGTCTTTTTTTTTAAGATTCCACATATAAGTGATATAATATGGTATTTTTCTTTCTCTTTCTGGTTTACTTCACTTAGAATGACATTCTGCAGGTCCATCCATGTTGCTGCAAATGGCATTATTTTATTCTTTTTTATGGCTGAGTAGTACTCCATTGTATAAATATACCATAAATTCTTTATCCAGTTGAGATGATCCTCTTTAAATGGGATTTCCCAGCAGATGTTTCAAAGAACAAGAGTCCTTCATGGTACTCCTACAAAGGGGATTTCTGTACTGACTGATTTCAAAAGTTGCTATAATTGCGAGAGGGTATAGCTCAG